AAGTAAATACATATTTATTTATTTTAATTTTTTTTCTTAAGGAGATTAAATTTAAGCTGCTTTTAAAGCTTTATTCACTTCAATCCCTATTGAAAATATTACTATTAATGAACAAAAAATAATCCTTTTTCAATTCTTGTTGATGGAAAAATTTTAAATAATCTTAAGAAAATTACTATTGAACCTGTAAAAGACTTAAAAAACCCGGATTTAGTTTTAAGTGTTCCAATTATGACTTTCTTACCATTAAAACTATGAAAAATAAATAATTTATATATAATATAATTAAAATGTATATTAAAAATATATTATTTTTTTATCAAAAGATAATAATAATATATTTGTCTATAAAAATATTTAAATTAAAAAAAATATATTTAATTATTAAATACAAATTATAATTAGTTTTTTTATTTATAAAATTAATTTATTTTGTTTGCAATTTGATTAAAATATATATTTTTAAAATAAATTCAATAATTAATATAAATAATTAATTTATTAGCAGAATCGTACGATTATGATTTATTTTCAGAAAAACAGATAATAAAACAAAAAATAAATAATTATTTATATATATTAATATATATGTTGCCCTTTTAAAAAAAATAACAATTAATTAACTAAAATTTATATATAAATATATATATATATATATATATATATATATATATCTAAAATATTTTTGTTTTTATTATTATATGCAAACATTAAATTATAATTAATTGATTTATATTTAATTAAAATATATAATTATATTCTTTTTAAAAATTATTTTTATTATAAATAGTTCATAAAATTTTTATTTTATAATTTTTTTAATTTCTATTTTTTTAAATATTTTTTTAAAGTGTTTAGATATTTTTTAAATTAAATTTACATATAAATATAAAGTATTATTTTAAATATAAAAATTTATTTAAAATAAAAATATTTATTTTAAAAATAACATATAGCAAATTTATTAAAAAAACATATAGAGTATTTTTTACAATAAATTATTTAAAAAAAATGTTTAGAATATATTAAAACTTTTTTAAAATAAAGGTAAATATAAAATTATAAACAACAAAAAAATTAGTAAAAAATAAAACAAAAAAATTTAAAATTAATTGTAGATAGTGATACTTATTATGTTTATATGAATATAAATATTAAATTTCAATATAAAGATATTTAATATTTTTTTTTAAAAAAATATGAATTTTCTATGAAAAGAAAAAAAAAATTCAAAAAGAATGCAAATTATAGATAATAGTAAAAAATAAGTTAAAATTAAATATTTTTTTCAAATAAAAATATACAACTAATATTATAAGTTTTATTATTATAATAAATATTTTATTTGAAAAAGATTATTTTTAAAAATATTATAATGAAATTATAATAACAAATAAATAATTATAAAATAAAAATTGTATATAGAAATAAATATATATATATATATATACATATATATATATATATATATATATATATATATATATATATATAAATAATAAAATTATGATTTAACTTTATAATCCCATATCTAAGCAAATAATTTGTATGTTCTAAATTAAGCTTTTTATTATTCATAAATTTTAAACAGTAATAAAAAGATTAAATTTTGATTTCAAGTATTTATTTTTATAAACAAAATATATATATATATATATATATATATATATATATATATATATATATATATATATATTGTAATTTTTTATAGCCTTTTAATATTTTTTTTAATTTTAATTAAGTTAATCAATAAATTTATTCATTATTGTAAAATAGGTTTAAAGCTAAATACAATTTATTAATTAATTTTGAATGATTATATTTAAAAATATTAAAGATTTAGATATACATATGTATTTTAAATTATATAAATTATTACTTGTTCATAATTTTTTATTTCACTTGTTTTTATTATTTTATTTTCTCTGTATTTATTTTATATACTTAATTTAAAGAAAAGGAGAAAAAAATGGTATCCGCCTTTTTAAATGTATTCAAAAAAATTACAGAAAAAATAAAAAAACTTAAAATATAAATATTTATAAAATTGAATTTCGGCTGATTAATTTTAAGTTTTTTGAAATTTTTATTTTTAAAAGATAATTTAAAATAATACATTTCATATATAATAAATAAGTAAAATATCTTTAAATTTGAAAAACTAAAATGTATAAAATATGTAATTAATGATTCTAAAAATATACTAGTTTTATAAAAAATATTATTTTTGATAAATATAGTTTTTCTTTTTATTATTAGAATATTATTTAATTATAAATCTTCACATATTTGCTCCTTTTTTTAATTTAAACTGTTTATAAGCAAAATAACATTAAGTAAGCTTACAATCTTTAAATTAAAATACATTGGATTCATTAATTTCTTTTAAAATAATAGTTATTTCTTCACTATGATCTCCAAAGTTTTTATTTTATATTTCCTTTATTTCTTTCTCACTCATTTATTATTCTACAAAATACATTAATACTTCTTCATCTGAACCTCCTGGGCTACTATAAAATGATCCCAAAAAATTCAAATTTTCTTCCTTTACAATAATTCCAGTTTCTTCTTGTAATTCTTTTGCTGCTACTCCTATAAAATTTCCATTTTCATCTATCATTCCTGCTGGAACTTCAAGCATCCACTATCCAGCTGGTACTCTAAATTATCTTGTTAAAGCAATAAATTTTTAATTTATTATTACTAATACAGCAACAGATTTTCCTCTTAAAAATACAAAGCCTTTTTTCTTTAAATATATAATTAAATTTATTTATATACCAGGAAGTCTTGTTTTCAAAGTTTTTGTATATACTTCGATTATTAAATCTACAAATCCTACATTTTGACCAAACATAAATACATAATCAATTTTAATTTAATTTATATTTATTTAATCTTTTTCAAATGATTCAATATATTCTATAAATTTTTTACTTTTTATTACTTTCTCAAAAATTTCTTAACTTACATTTTGATTTTTTGTTGTTATTTTTAATGCATCTTCAAGTTTCATTTATTTTCTGATTATTTTACAAAATTTATATATTACTTTATAAAGATTTATCAATTTTTTCGATTTTTAATTATGGCTTAAAATATATTAATATCTTTTATAAGAAAATATTTATATTTATTATAATATTTTTATTTTATAAATACTTTTTATTTTCTTATAAATATTATCATTTGCTTTTTTAATATTATTATTGCATTTATTAATTTTTTTTAAATTTTAGAAATTACTAAATAATTAGTAAATATAACTTTTAAAAATGTTTTTATAATTTTTTTGTAACTTTTATATAAATAAAGAATCTAAAAAAAATGGCAAGATATTTTTTTTATTTACTTTTTATATTATTAATTATTTATTATATAATTTAAAGAAAGAATAAAAAAACAACATATTAGTCTAAAAAGTAATATATTTAATCAAATTAAAAAATCGTAAATTTATTTATGTAATTTAAATAAAGAAAAATTATTATATATATTTTACTTTATAAATATCATAATTAAATATATTCATATTTGTATCTACTTTATTAAAATATAAAAAAAAATCAATAATTTAAATTAATAATAGTAAAAATTAATTTATTATAAAAACAAAAATTTTATTTACACTAAAAAATACATAAAAATAATCTATAATCTATCAAATAAAAATTTTAAAATAAAAATCCATAAAAAAAATCCTAAATGAATTATTTAAGAGAGATAGTTTCAGGTCCTAAAAATAGGTATAAAGAAGACGGTTATAATTTAGACTTAACATATATTTGTCCAAGATTAATAGCAATGTCATTTCCTGCTTCAGGAATAGAAACTTTATATAGAAATAGTATTGATAAAGTATATTTATTGTAAAAAAATAAAATAAAAAAAATAACTTAAAAATATAAATCGCATTTATAGTATTTGAATTCAAAAAAATTTTAGTTATATATAAAAATAAATTTATTATACCAAAATAGGTTTCAAAAATGATAAAATAACATCATGAAAATAGTTATTATATATTTAATGTATCAGGACGAAAATATGACTATTAAAAGTTCGAAGGAAGGGTAAAAAAATATTTAAATAAATAAATAAATAAATAAATAAATAAATAAATAAATAAATAAATAAATAAATAAATAAATATTATTAATTTTTATATATATATATTAATATAAATATATATATTTTTATACATATTATAAATTATAAATATATTTATTTATATATATACATTATAATTTATAATTAATAATATATATATATCATTATTTATACATTTTTATAAATAAATTTAATTATTTTTTTTATTTATAAAAAGGTTAAAGATTACGAATGGGAAGATCATCATTCCCCTCCTATTAACACTTTATTTATTATTTGTAATGAAATACATTATTTTTTGATGTAAAATGATTAAAATGTTGTAATTATTCATTGTCTTGCCGGTAAAGGAAGAACTGGTACTATCATTTGTTGTTATTTATTATTTAGTGGAAGAATGTAAAATCCATAAGAAGCTTTAGCTTATTATGCTAAAAAAAGATTTTATAAAGAAGGTTTAGGTGTTAATTAACCTTGCCAAATAAGATATGTATATTATTTCCATTAAGTATTTAGTGAACAAGATGTTTATCCTAAAATAAAATATATTAAAAGCATAGAATTATTTGGAAAGCCTAAATACAATGATGATGGATGTAAACCTTTCTTTGAATTCTTTTATGTCTAAAATAAATAATTAATTTTTACTACTAAAAAAAGTTATTCTGATTAAGAAAAATTTACAGAAAATAGTAGTTAATTGAAAATAGAATTTAAAGAATAATTTTTTTTTTGCGGAGATGTTTTGCTAAAAATGCATAATAATGGTTTTTTTATTTTTATTATTATTTTATCTTTTTATTTTAAGGTCCTTTTAAAAATAAGAAAATGATCAGGGCTTCATTTAGTACTGCTTTTATCCCTGAAAATAAGTTAACTAATTATTTTTATAAAAATTTATAATTTTCTAGTATATATTAATTGAAACTTTCTGAATTGTCACCAAGTTAATTATTGAAGGATTAAAAGTATCCTAAAGACTTTATGATTAGGGTTTTTTTTATATCTGTTTATTTTTTAATAAATTTTTAAGATTATATTTGATTCTATTTGTGAGTGCAACTTTTTTAATTATTAAGAAAAAAAGTGCAAAGTTTGCTTTAATTTATTTGAGAAAGAATAAAATACATGGGATTAAATATATTCAATTTTAAAAGTATTTTTTTTTTAAATAGTTATATTAACGAAAAAATAAAAGAGTTATTAAAGGTTAGATAAATAAAAATAAAGTCTTCTTTTATTTAAAGATTAAAAATATGATGATGTTGATTAAATATTGGATGAAGAGAAAGAAAAACTTTGTAAACAATAAAAAACATTTAATATATAAAATAAATAAAGAGTAAAAAGGTATATAATTGTGTCCTTTTTAAATGAGAGATAGAAAAAGCAAATTTAATGAATATATTTATGAATAGTTTATGCAATAATATAATAATAATATGAAAGGATCCAATGAAAATTTAGAATAAGAAGGTAAAATTTTAGAATAATCAAGTTCAGATGAAAGTAATGATGATATGTCATTACAATCAGAAAGAAAAAGAGCAAATGTTGTACCAATTTTTAATTTTAAAATTTCATTTAAGGAAGAAGAAAAACAAAATAGTTGATACTTTACTATTTATTTTATTTTATTTTATTTTGTTTTATTTAGTATAAATAAATTTTGCCAATTTTTTTAATCTAGTCTTTATTATAATAAATGCTAAAATAAATAATTGAAGGTTATTTATATTATATTTATAATAATAAATCAGAATATAAGTATTAAGATTTTAATATATTTATTGTAAAAATTTAATAATAATAATATATTCAATACCAATAATATTTTAATTTTTATATATCATTTATTTATTATTGGATATAAAAGTTTGATTTATTAATTTAAAGTTATTTAAAAAATTCAAAAGTTAAACTTTTATAAAAAAAATAAAATATTACATAAAATAATTAAATAATAATATTTTTTTAAAAACTATTATATCTTTGAGACATATATTATTTATTTATTTAGTAAATTAATTGTTATAAATTATTTGAGACCAAACTTTTTTATTTTTTTATTTTATTATTTTTACTTTATTGATGCTTTATATATTTTATTATAAATTTTGTGTATAAAAAACAATGAAAATTATTTAAAAGTAATTGTCAAGTTTAAAGAAAAATCATATAGAAATAATAAATATAGTAGTAAAAAAGGATAAATTTGTATATTACTATGTGTGCACTTAATAATTTATTATGAGAAGATTAAATTTTAAAAAATTTAAAAGTTAACTTTTTTGTAATTTATTATTTAATTTTTACAATTAATTAATAAAATATGAAATTTTAAACTGATTTTTCAGCTCAAAAAATGTATTTAGATCAATACATTTATAATTAATAAATAAATAATTTCTATTCGATTTCAAATATAATTATAATTAAATCATAAACTTTTTTCAAAAATAATTCCTTTTAAATATTCAAACAATTTAAAATACCCTATATAATTATAAGTAATATTATTTTAATATATTAACCTAAACATAATGCACTTAGGAGATAACTTTTACAATATTTTTTTGTAAATTAAATTATTAACAACAAAATGATTAAAAAATAAACAGAAAATTATTTCTAAATAATTCTGTTAATTTTCTAAATATATAATTTCAAAATATTAAAAATAAAAAATTAATATAGAGAAAGATGTAATAATTGTTTAAATAAATATTTTAAAGAAATTTCAATATTTCCAAATAAATTAAAATTAAAAAAGTTGTAATTAAGGAGAGAGAAGAAGATATATAAATTATAATAGTGAAAAATTGTTTTTTATTGCTATATAATTAAAGTAAAGAAATGAATTCAAATGAAAATGCATTAAAAAATAGATTTACATTCTTATTAGCAGATTTTGCAAAAAATATAAGGTAATTAATGATTAAGAGTTTAAACAATAGAAAGACTAAAATTAAGCTGAAAAAAATTAAATTTCTTTCTCGATTTTTTTATCTCTTTTAAAAAATAATATAATAGATCTTTTAAATTAGTAAGTAATAATATATATAGATAAAAAGGAATTAAAGAAACTATTTTATTTTTTAAAAAATAAAAAGCGCATAAAATCATTATTTTTTTTATATTAATTTTGATATTATATTTTATAATATAAATTCTATTCTAAAATACGATGATAATAAAAAAAATTAAATTCTTTTTTTACTTAATATAAATTCAAATAATTATTTTATAAGCCTTTACTTTTAAAGGTTTTTTATGTCAATTATTATATTTTATTGAAAAAATAATTAATAAAAAATATACATTCATAAAATAAAACTGATTTGATTCAACAATCTAAAAATAAAGATAAAATTTAAATATAAAATTATATTAATAAAAAAAAGAAATCAATATTATTAATTAATTAAAAGTAAAAGTATTAATTCTTAAAAAATAATAATAAATAAAAATATTCAGAAAGATTTTTAGAAAAAAAAAAATGGGCAAAACAAAATAAGCGAAATAAAAAATAAATACATTATCACAAAAATAAAAAGATTAAGAAAATTTTTCAGAAAAAATTTGTCATTTTATAGGTGATCATTTACAAGCTCCATAATTTTTAAAGGATAATAAATATATTAAATAAGGATATAGAATAAATTTCAAATCAACAAGGGAAATTCTAAAGAGCTTTTTTATGATCCATAATGAATCAATAAATATTTGGACGCATTTTTTAGGCGTGATAACTTTAATTTTTTTAACCTTTTTTTTATTAACTTAATATAATCATAGTATAGACTTACAATAATGGAAATAAAGAATGATTTAAAATGTGAATAATCAATTAGAGCCAATATACAAATAAATGAAAGAAATGGATGAAGCATTTAATGAATAAATGAACGAAAGTATAGCAATAATGTAGAAAAATTATAATTCAATAGAAGAAAGTATAATATAAGAGATCAATATTTTTAAAGATTAAATAACTCCTTTTAATATATAAGAAATAGGTGTTAAACTTTAAAAATTTACTGGGAGTATGGAAAGAGGATTTTTTGAAAAGTATAAAGATGAATTAATTGGGAAAATTGAAAACTTAAGATATGAGCTAATTTAATAAATTGATTCTCATCAATTTGATTGGATTGATTTTTATATGGATGATTATATAAATAAAAATGAATTTTTAATTGAAAAAAGTAATACACATGTAGTTTCTAGATGGCCGATATTCGTATTTTTACTTTCAGCGATTCTTTGTTTACTTTTTTCAACTCTTTTCCATCTTTTTTATTGTAAAAATCCAAAGTATTTTTAATTTTTTTTAAGGTTGGATTTTGCAGGGGTTAGCCTTTTAGTCAGCGGGAGTACATTTCCTCCTTTTTATTATGGATTTTATTGTAATTTCTATTTAGCATATTTTTATTTAAGTTTAGTTACAATTGTTTCAGCATTTGTTTTTTTAGTTTCTATATAAGAATTTATTAATAAACCTGAATATTTTGCATTTAGATCGTTTATTTAAGGCTTACTTGGATTTTTTTCATCTATCCCAATCGGACATTTGATATATTTGGAAGTTTTTAAAGAAAATAATAATGATACCTATTCTACTGCTAATAGCATTGGGTATTATCTTGTTGTTTGTTTTTGTTATTTGATTGGCTTGATTATTTTTGCTTTGAGATGTCCGGAAAGATATAAGCCTGGACATTTTGATATTTGTGGTGCTAGTCATTAATTATGGCATGTGATGGTTCTAATAGGTATAGGATTAACTTATGTTGCATCGATTATTAATTTCTATACAAGAAAAATAAATATCTGTAAAGATGGGTTTTGATTTAGATAGAAAAAAATTTTTATCAATAATTTTTTTTTTATAACTTATTTTTTTGCAAATTAATTTAGTTTTTATTTATTAATTAATTAATTTACATGAAGATATGAAATTTTATGCCCAATTTTATTTTAATTTAACTTTATTATCAATATTAAATATATTTTTTAGGCTAAAGTTAAACAAAGTACTTATTCGGAATATTTTTTCAAAATTTATTTTGAGGAAGAAAGTATTCTGAGAGTATAAAACTATTTAGATAAGTTAAAATAAATAAAATAATAATATATTTTTATATTTATATTAATTTTTAAAATAATATAAATATTTTTATTTTACATTATTTTTTTTTTAAATATAATTTATATCAAAATAGTTAAAAAATAGATAATAGAAAATAATTTGAATATTTCTATAAATAAAAGGGTCAACCTATTTAAATATAAAATTAATTTTAAATAATTATAGAAAAAAAATTTTGTCGATAATTATTCAAAATTTTTACATTAATTTTATTAAATATTACTAATATTTTAGTTTATATATATAATAAATGCTTAAAATAATTAATATAAATATGTAATATAGACTTATCTATAAAAAAAAGCAATAAAAAATAATAATATTAAAATATATAATATAAAATAATATGTATAATTTAATAATTATTACTTTTAAATTTTATTTATTATGATAAATTATGATAATATAAAAAAAAATACAAGAGAAATTAAATTAATTATTAACATTATTTATTAAAATAATTAATTTAGTTGAAAATTTAAGAAATTATTTTATGAATTAGACATTTTTTTATATATCTATAAAAACAAAATTTAATATTAAAATAAAAATACTAATTTATTAAAAAATAAATAAATCATGTAAATTTATAAATAAAATTATATGTAAAATAAAATTAATTAGTTCAAAAATAAATAGTATTTATTTAAATAGAAAATAAAAAAGCATTAAAATATTATAAATATATCAAATATTTAAATATACAAATATTTTTTTAACAAAAAAACCTAAAATAATTCTTAAAAATAAATAAGAATTACTAAATTTTACTAATTCAAAAAAATAAAATGTAAGCTTTAGGGCAATTAATAATTTAAAAAAGAAAGTATGTTCCTGAATAATAACTATTAAAATTAAAAGAACAATATTAAAATTAAAAAAAATAATAAGAAGAAGATATTTAAGTAAAAATACTAAAAATAAATAAAAAATATTAGATAAATAAATATAAAATTTAAAAAATAGTATATTTTAAAATAACTTTCTCTTCCTCAAAAATCCAGAATATAATCAGATGCTGACAATTTTATTAAAATATTTAGTTAGTTATAATTTATTAAAGAATATACACATGAATATAAACATCAGATTCTTAGACAACTATTTATTAATGGAAAATTAAGAACGTATACAATGCATGAACTTATATCTAAAAAAAATCAACAAAATAAATAATTTATGCTTATTTTGGAAGGATAAATATCTCTATTTTTAGAATATGAATAAAAATTGGTATTTGTAAAAAAATTATATCCAGGAGAAACAATAGAAACAGCAACATTATGCGAAAATATGGAGTACCTAATGACTACTTAATGCATTTCTGAAAAAGTCGAAATTTTAACTTTAGAAGAACCATATTTTAAAAAAATTTTAGGTAAAATTGAAACAGAGAAATACGAAAATGATTTTAATTTCATTAAAAGTATAAAGATTTTCGAATAATGGCCAAAAAAGAATCTTATAAAACTAATTATGTGTATAAATAACTTTCATGTATCTAAATAATAAGTTATTTATTAAGAAGGTTAGGCTTCTCATGCAATGTTTATTGTAAAATAAGGAGAATTCGCAGTATACTAATTTAAAATAATATATAAATTATATTAATAAATATATATATATAAAAAATAAGGAATATAAAAAAATGCCTCCTTGGAAAAGCAATGAAGTAAAAATAGAAAATCAATAAAAAGCAAAGGAAAAAATCTTATAAGAAAAATTTATAAATGTATTGATAAAAAATCCAATTGAATATAATTCTAAATAAGTCGGTATCATAGGCGCTTTTTAATGCTTCGGATAAAATGAATTAATTTAGAGAAATTTAAGACAAACAAGTGTTATTTGCAAATCTTAAACTGGAGAATTGATGTAAATTAAAGGAAACTATCTATTAATTTTAGTTTAGGAAAATGCCTCTTTGAAATTAGATTTAATAAAGAAAGTTATGCTTAATTAAAAAGCATTATAAGTAAAAAAAAGTTTAGGTAAACTTTCATTTGTTAAAGAAGACTTAATTAATACTTATCATAATAATAGCTAAAATTTAGACTAAATTTAAAAATATAAAATTTTTAAATAAGCCTAAATTTAATAATTAGTTGATAGTTAATAAGGATTTTGCAAAAATTTAAGGCATACATTTAGTTTTATTCCTAAAAGCATACAAAAAATAGAAACTAATAATTAAAATTTATCTCATAATAATATCATTTCTTTACATAGCATGCCTTTTTTAAATGATGTTATGAATTCAAATGACATAAATCATAATAAACAAAGAAAATCTTTGAAATAAATTAAATCTAGAAGCAGTATAAAGTTTTTTTTTAAAAAAAGTCAGGATTTTAAATTACCTTTAATTAACTGAAGAATATTAATATTTATTTATTATTTAAAAATTTAAATAATATATTTGTATATTTTTTTATATACATTACTTGTTTATAGATTTTTTTATTTTTTAAGTAATTTTTTTTAAAAGCTCAACGAGTTTTTAAAAAACAATTACATCTCAAATAAAAAAATTTATGAATAATTAATATTATTTATAAATTAAGATATTAAAATAAATTTATTTACTTTTTTTTTTAAACTAATTTTTTATGGTATTTAAATAAGCAAAATTAAAATAAAATTTATAATAAAAAGCAAATAAAATGAATGAAAAATAAATAATTGCATAGAAACTAAAGGAAGAGTATTTTTAAAAGCTTTAAAAGACCATAAATCTATCATTAAATAAAATAATATAGGAAAATTTGTAAGAAAAAACATAAAAAATAACAAATTTATTAAGAAAAAACTAAATTAAAATCTTAAAAAATAAAAAATAAAATTTTAATCCTATAGAAAATGCAATTATGAAAGAATAAATTAAAAAAATAAGTAAATAAGAAGAAGAATATTAATAAAAACTTTAAACAATAAAAAATTAAAAAGAGGATTTAAAAATGTAATAAAAAGCTTAGGAAAACCCTTTATAAAATTAAAATATTTTTTAACATCCAGTATTAAAATTTTATTTGGAAGACGAAGAAACTCGCAAAACCAAATAAGCTGCAAATTTTGCTCTGTAAATGTAAAAAGAAAGACATGAATTAGAATTAAAAATTAAGCAGAGATAATAATAATAAGAAGAAAAACAAAGAAATATACTTAGAATGAAACTTATTCAAGAAAAAAAAGTAAAAGAAAAAGAAGAAATAGATAAAGAAGAAATTTTTAAAAAAAAAATTATGGAAATTGAGTAAAGAAAAAAATAAAGAATCTAACAACTCAAATTGTTTGAAGAATAATATATGAATAAAATCAAATAGAAACTCCATTTTAAAAAACCATTATTTATAAGATACCAAAAAAACTATCAGAAAGAGTAATAAAAACTTTTAATGAAAACCATTTAAAAGAAAAAACAGAAAATAGAAAAAATTGATTTCGGTTAATTCGAAAAAAAATATTAAGAGACTTTAAATTCATTAAAAAAAGAGAAGAAAATTATATTTCCTAAAATAAATAAAACAAAAATACTAAAAAATTAATCTTTTATAAGTTTAAAAGGGACAAATAAAACTTAAGATAATTTTTTAATATAAAAATCTAAATCAGAGCTTCGTAAAAAATTTAGCGAAAGCATCAGAAAGTATTAAACTATAAAGCAATCATAAGAAAAAGAAGTACTGATTTAAATTAATAAAGACAAATAATAAAATCCTAATAAATATATTTTATTATTAAGAAAAAAACGGATAATGAGAGAATAGAAAAATTAAAGAATCGCAAAAGTTCTATGCCTTAAATAAACTAAGAAGAAAAATCGATTTTTTTAGGTGAAAAATCAAACTTTTTTTAACCAAAATAACCTGTAGAAAGGCGTTTATTAGGTATTTCTTATTTAGAAAGTTTTAAAAATTAAAACAAAAACAATAATAAAGAAATTAAGTCTAATTTCGCATAGGAAAAATATGAAAAAGAAGAAGAAAAAGTTATTTAAAAACCAAAAAAATAAGATTTTTCAAAATAAATAAGTGAAAAATATAAATTAAAAGAAAGAGTAAATGATTTCTAAAGTGCAGAAAAACTTCCATTTTATGAAAAAAAAGAATTTTTAGAGAAAAATGGTAAAAAATTTGAAGAAAATATATAAAGAAAGTTAACTTTAATTAGAAATTATAACTAAAATAGTTTAACAACTTAGGAATCTAAATAAAGAACAGAATTAAACGAGGAATATTTTAATGCAATTTAAACCAAATTTGCTTATTTGGACATGTATTTAAAATGAAAAATAATAATAAAATATATATATAATTTTATATATTATAAAAATTATATATATTCATTCATTTTTTCTAATCTTTATCATCTTTTTTCTTTTCAGGTTTTTAATCTTAAACCATTTTGAGTAAATCATCAATAAATTCTTGATTTTCTAAAAGATTTTTTTAAATTTAAGCTGAAGAATCAGCTCCTTCTCCTTTGTATTTTTCATCCTCTTTTTTGTTTTCTTAATTTGCTAATGGATTTGGTTTCATTGATTCTTCCATTGCTTTCCTTAATAACTCTTCTTCATCTTCCATATCACCTCCTTCTTCAGCTAATAAGTGTCTTTCTTCTTCCATTTAATTATTATTTTATACTATATTCTTTTCTTCTAATTATTATTAAGGTTACTATTATTATTATTGTTATTATTCTTATTCTCTTCTTCTTTTTTCTTCATCTAATGATTATTTAATTGCCATCGCTAATTCAGGATCTTTTTCAGGATCAACCCCACCATATTCATCAAATTAACCAGGAGCAACTCCTTACTCGCCTTAAACTCCTCCTTAAGAAGAAACATGAACATTCAAAATAGGAGAGGAAATCAAAATATCAGTAATGTTTTGTCCACTTTCTACATTTAAAAAATGAGATGTATCACCTGAATTTACTGTTTCAATGAATTTTTGCAATTTTTAAACTTAGTTTTCATTGTTTTAGTACATATTTATTACATCTACACTCACTTTATTTTTTTTTAATTATTTTGCAATATCATTTAATTATTTTTCTTCTTCTTATATCTAATTTTTATTTTATATATTTAATATGTTTAATTATTTTACTGGTGATGATATGAAAACAATAATTCTTTACCTTTAATTCTTATTTTGCCTATGTTTTAATGCTAGCTAAGATATTGCTAAGGCATTCAAAAAGTGTGGCTTTTCCCCTTTTAATTATATTCCATATAGCTTTCCAAGTATTATCTCTTACTCTTTATTTGGAGTTACAAGTACTTCAACTTATTAACCGCCCATAGTCATTATTCCTACTGAATTTTCTTGATTTAGTTACTGCTTAGAACTTATTATTATAGGAATTGTGTCCGTTTGAGCTTCGAAACGGTTTGGAGGATAATCACCGTTTCTTGCATATTCGGTATTATCAAGAACTACTACACAAGCTTCTAATGTCATTTTTTTTTGAAAATTAATAATTTTTTTAATTTAATTTATTTGTTTATTTTTTTTAGAATAGGGAATATATAATAAATATTATTATTTCGTATTCTCAGTTTAAAAAAATCTTTATTTTTTTTTATTTTTTAAAATACTATTAATTTTTTTTTATAATTTTTAGAAAAGAAATATTTTTTAAATATAAAACTCTTTTATATAAAAAAAATATAGAATAATAAAAAACAAAAAATTGATAATAATAAATAATCATTTAACATATTTAGTAAAAATAATAATTTATTTATTATTAATAAATAAAATAAGCATTTTTCAACCTTGTAAATTTTAAAGTATAAAAAAAATATACATAATAACTAAATATTTTTGTTTAAGTAAACTAATTAAAAAATACCATATTATATTTAAATTTAAAAGCTTTAAATCTCTTTAAAGTCAATAATATTTTATTACATAGTCTGATGTATTTTTAGATAAAAATTTATCAGAAAAACACTTAAAATTTTACAAATAATTATCATATTATTAATTTAAGAGACTTAAAATTAAAAAACTAGCAAATTCTTATTAAAACCTTCCAATTTTTCATTCTCTAACTTAGATTTTATAGATTAAACGTGATTTCATTCTAAATAATTATTATTAGATCATTTTAAATGTACATAACATAAGGAATTTGTTTTATTATTTAATTTTCTACTTTTAGATTATTTACCAAAAATTATTAATTTTCTAATCAACTATCTTTTAATTTAAGGTTTGAATATATTTTTATAATACTTTATTTTTCTCTTTTTTGAGCGTCATATATTATTTATTTTATTTTTTATGAGATATTTATTATTATTTGTAAATATAATTTATATTTTTATAATCCATCAATAATTATTTTATTTATTATTAAATTAAATAATTAAATTATATTTCTATAGATATACTCGTGAATTTAGTGAAAATTAAATATGATTTTTTAATTTTAAACATAATGTTTCATTAAAAAAATTGATTTTGTAATTTTAATTTATTTTTAATCAAAAGTTTATAAAAAAGAAAGAAATTTTTATTACCATTAAATTAGAATAATTTACTGAAATTTTAAAATTTATCCTATAGTTTTTTTTGGAATTTTTTTTAGTTACTTAAAAAAAAATATATAAATTAAAAATGGAATTTTAAAATTATCAATTAATAATAATAATAATAATAATAATAATAATAATAATAATAATAATAATAATAATAATAATTAAATAATTTATATATTTAGATTATATAAAATTCTATTGTATTTCAATTTTGTTATTTTTTACTTAATTTTTATTCAATTTTTTTATATCTTAAGATATAACTTTTAATTAATTTTATATTTAAATTTAATTTATTTTAAATATCTCGCCACTTAAAATTATAAATTTATTTATAATTTTATTATATATACTTTTAGTATTTATAAATTTTCATTTTTCTTTTTTCTTTTTTTTTTCATTTTGTATATTGAAATTTTTTTAATTCTTTTACAATTATTTTTTTTCTTTTTTATATTATTATTCATTGTTATCATCATCTTCTTCTATAAAAAAATTATCTATCTTTTCTTTATCTTTTTTATTATAATCATCTTTTTCTTACTCATCATTTTTTATATTAAATTAATTATCTTCTATATTTTATTCTTCGTCTTCTATTTCTTACTTTTACATTATTTGCTTTTTAT